TTTTTGTGGTCCTCTGTCAAGATTTTTGGAATCCATCTTGCACAAAACTTGTGGTAACCAAGCTTTTTGCTGATGATTTCGTGCAACAAACTTCGCGAAATTTGTGGAAACTCAAAGAAAATTCCGTTATCGTGAAATTTCGATTTTCACGGACTTTAGCATCGACTTTTTCGAGAAGTTCGGCGGTCACTATGCTGGGTCTCCCACTTCGATCTTCGTCGTGAACATTGGTTCGGCCATTTTGAAATCTTATGACCCACTGACGCACTCCACCTTCAGTGATAATGTTGTCCCCATACACTTCACGAAGCTGCCGATAGATTTCTATCGGTTTACAGTTTTTTGCAGTCAGAAACCTTATTACTGAGCGCACCTCGCGGGATTTTCAATTAACGCAGACATTTCAAACCGTCACAGTATCTGAACGGAGCACAGCACGAACCTCTCACTAGCACGGCTAGATGCAGACTGAGCTGCGCAATGCTCTGACCCCAAGATGGCCGCGCTAGCCCCGCCCCTAGCGGACACAGACAGAAACGTAATCTACTTCCTGGATGGCCCTCGTATTTCAATTACTGTTAAAGGTGACTAATATCAAAAATTCTTTCTGGGGCCCTTCTCGTATAAACCTTAGAGGGATTCAAGTATGTGATTTTGTAGCTGCCTCCGGTTTTATGCTGTATAATGATCCCAAAAGTCCAGCTACTTGCATAGCCAGTCAAGGCAAGTCACAAGTTGATCTCACCATGGTGAAAATTCATGGGGATTTATGCATCAATAACTGGAAGGTGGAAGATAATATTAATCTATGTGACCACTAGATTGTTTCACTCGAATTAGACAATGTCTTTTTTCTGGAAAATAAGCAGAGAATGAAACTGTATTGAACTGACTGGATATCTTTAAGAGAAGTTTTATCTACTAATTTCCAATATACTGGAGATTTACATACAGAAAATAAAATAGACAAATTACACAGACTACAGAAGAACTATATAATCTGTATAACAATACAAAAATTATAAATAAAATTTTAAAACTTTTCCCATTTGTGGACAAAATAATTAACCATTAAAAGGAAAAAGGTAAGAGCTTTGAGATGAAAGTATCAGAGTTAGACTTGAAACGAGTTGAAGAGAAATAGACTATGCATCATTTACAGAAAAGAAGAAACTCTTAATAAGTGTAATAGTTATAAAGCCAAGGTTAATTTTTTGTAATAATTTTTGGGAAATCTTTCTCCCAAGTTGACGTTTGGCACTTACTACAACTTGGCAAAAGAAAAAAGCATCTCTCTTTTTCAACTTTTTCAAATAAAAAAACAAGATGGTTCATTTACGATGAATGTCCATACTTGCTCTTGAATAATAAATTATTAACTCAATACTAATTTGGATTAACACCAAATAAAGGAACAGTAGATACATTGGACAATCTTACAACCATTATCAAAGATAATTACACGCGAAATTGGCACACTTGTGTAATTTCTCTAGCTATGATGTCTGCCTTTAATAACCTTTGGTGGCTGGATATTCTCGCCACATTCCAAGATCTTAATTGTCCAGCAAATCTCTACAATTTACTGAAGAATTATCTTCATAATAGAAAAGTCATTTACAAGAGAGATGGTGTCAATATTTAAAAAAATTATTACAAGAGCATACTTCAAGGATCTACTTTAAGTCCAATTTCGTGGAATAGTGCTGGATTAAAGTTAGACCTAAGAAATGATGTCACTCTTCAAGCATATGCCAATGGTTTCATTGTCATTGTTGGCAGTAGAAATCCTACAGGCTTAGAAAGAAGAGCGAATAAAGCATTAGAGAACATAGAAAAATGGAGTGATAAATATAAACTTAGTTTGAATAGCACAAAAACCAAAAAAACATTTCTTAAGGTTTCAAAACTGGTAAAAAATATGCTAAGGTTACGATGTAAGAATATTCATATTCGAAACAGTGATACATTACAAGATCTAGGGTTCATCCTTAATAAAAAATTAACCTGGATTCCGCACCTCTCGGAAGTGCGAGATTGAATACCTGCAACTGTAAACTATTTAAATGATTTTATGACACATAAACGGGGATTTAAAGGGAAAATATGGAAAGAACTGTATTTAACAGCAATTTAAAGATTAATATTATATGGTTGCTCTGTATGGTGGAATTATAGAATCACAGTAACAGCAACAAATAAGTGCTACTAATTCAACAAATAGTATTACTGCATATAACTAAAGCACTTTGTACTACACCAACAACTACTTAAATTTTAGTGGAAGTGCACTTGTTGGAGCGCTTTCACTATATATTAAAGCAGAACAGGAATCAAAGTTATTCCATCTCTTTCACTTTTAAGAGGATTGCATTACAGATGAATTAAATATACCAAATTATACAGTAGAAGTAGTCCCAAAATTGAACAAATGCCCAGCTCACTCTAAATTATTATATAGCATATGAATTAATTAATAAATTATATAGCATATGAATTCAATATTAACCAATTATATAGCATATGAATATTCCCGAAGGAAAGAGAAGAGAAATTTTCACATATGGACCAAAGATCCAAGATAAAGTTGGAGCTGCATTTACAGCTTACAAAGATAAACAATTTATTATATGTAAAAAATTTAAATTAAATGATTCAAGCATAGTTATCTAAGCCAAAGCAATAGCTTTGAAAGAAGCCTTTTTATGGTTAAACGCTTTTGTCAAAGGTAATAAGGCACATTAAGCGAACATTAATACGGATAGCCAAAGTGTTTTAAAGGTGTTCTGTTCCACAAAGAAAACATCTTTACTTATTCAGACTCTTCAAGAAACAATAAATATGGAAATAAATATTCGTGCTATTAGCCTAAATTGGATACGGGGGCAAATAGATATAATACGGAATGAAGCTGCTGACACAGCAACTAAAGATACTATATTAAAAGATATGATCGATATTCTTCTTCCCATTTCAAAAAGGAATAAATTTTCAAAACAAGTTTTAATAAAATGACAAAGATGATGGGCCAAGGCAGATACAGGAAGATTAACTCCCAAATACTTCCCCAAAAGACAAAAAATTAATTTCTTTCTAGTACAACTAGCAACAAATCATGAAAAGTTCTTATTTCCAGCAACTCTTAAGAAGAAATGTAAGATGTAGGTACATGTAGCAGATGCTAAACATTATATATGACAATGTTCATTACTTTCAGTTATCAGAGCAATGCATTTACCAGGATTTGCAACAAAAACTCCACCAAAAGATCTATTCTTCAATGCAAAGTGTGTGTCTGCACTTCAACAAATTATGAAATATATTATTGAAAACGAAGGCACAGTGACTTATAAATAATTAATCATATTACATGAGTGAATTAGAAAGCATTTAACAGCACATTAAGATTATAACATGTCCTGTCTACATTTGTAAAGAGCATGAGAACAAAAGAAAATTATATCAAGTCTTCTTGTATATGTTATATATTATTCATGTTGTGTATGTTTTCCTTCCTTATGCTATTATTTTATTACTTTACATGCTTAACAAAGGAACAGGGGTCCCGTTGACAAGGGTAATCAAATCTCCAGTACTTGTTGGCATGAGTGCAGTTATTCTCTGGCTGCACATGCTGATTGAATGGCTGATAAATTGTTTTGATAATCTTGGCACAGGATTTAAAATTGTCTCCTCGCCACATTCTCCACTGAACAGGATGGGAGTTCCAAATGTAGGTAGATAGATAAAGACATGTCTTATCATGTTGGAAAACAATCTTATCATGCCCTTTGGAATATTCTCGAAGTGTCTTCTGCAGTGCTTTATTCAAACTGGTAAACTAGTTTTAGTATCATTCAGCAATGACTCCGATGCAAGAGATGGCACTTTGTGGATTTCTGTGCTCATTTTCTCATATGTATGAAAATCATTATTTTTAAATACTGAAACATCTCTTTGCAAAGTATAATCAATGGAAGAAGTTTACAGCAAATTTCTAGCAGTAAATTATATATTTTTGTTGCAATGAAACAATGAAGTGAAACTTCTGACAAATTTCAATCACCTGCTGTTATTGTCGCATAAAATTGGACATTTTAAAGGAGGTAAAAATAATTATCGTTTACACTTTAAACACATATCATGTGCTAAATACCAAAAAACACTGTCAAATCCTTCAAAAATAAATGCACCCAGATCCAATAGTGTGCCCGGCTCAGTCGAATCGCAAATGAACCATTCCTCATTGATCTCCTGATCGATATTTCTGAAGAATTTTTAGCATACAACTCCAGTTATTGCCTTGACTTCTTCACAATTAAATATGCCTCCAATTCATATATCAGGAGGAATCTTTCGAAATAAAAGAAACAGTGTTATTGATTATACCTTCGTCCAAGCATGGACTTGATGCATATTTGTTTTTATACATGTTATGCTTAATGTTGAGTGTGTGGTCACTGCCATTGCAGATAATGGAGAGTACACTGTATACAACATATGAAACACTTTTTGAAATTTTACTTTTTAATATAATTCTGAGACAATTCACAATATGGCATCAATCTATCTAGCTATGCTGATTATAATTAATCTTCTCAATTTCATTTCACACCTGTAATACATCATACAGACATGCTACTATTCTGCTACAACTTGAAATTTTAATTACCTTATTACTCTCTCCTAGTATTAAGGCCTTTATATTATCAGCATCTCAAAAGCAAAATTTCTTAAATGAATAAAAATGATAAAGTATTAAAATATCAAATAAAAATTATAATCATCATCAAGTAAATCATATATATATGAAATAAAAAGTATTATCAAGCTTTTTAAAAAAGGTTTATTTTAAAATTCTATTCCTCCACTTTTTTTCAAGCCAAAGGCAAAAAATTTTTAATTATCACTTTGGATGATTTTAAAAATAAAAGATATGAAGTTATTTTGATTTTGGCCAAAAGATAAAGAAACATTAGAAATACAGAAACATATATTACTTCTAATTCCATGAAATGACCTAAGTGCTCCACATGATCAACATGAATTCTAGTTTGGCCACACACTAAAAGATGTCTCTGCTTATTGATTACACCAAGTATTCCAAGAGATGATGTCAAAACATTCTGTAGAATATAAATATTTAATTATTTTAAAAATTATAAAGGATTATTAAAAATTCTGTTTTTATTACAAAATATGTTTAATATTTTCAGCTTATTAATCCTTCAAAACATTCTTCAGTTATGCTGCATGCTATGATTAAAGTTTATTGTTTTTAATTATTAAATCATAATTGTACTCACTGTTAAGATTTCTACCATCAATTTAATACATCTGGTTGTTAATTATGCCAACAAGCATTTATTATGAAAGATCTAATCTCATCCACTCATAACTGACTCCTGAGATTGATGAGACAATGTGAAATGGAAACTTTTCTGACTTTGTTTTGTGGTGAATCCTATTGGTTGATATATTTTTACGAAACAGCTCACCGAGAGAAAATTTCTCACATATGATAGGCCTTAAAATTCATAATCTTTTCTAGATCTAATTAAGGCATAATATTTTAAAGGAAAAACATAGCAGCAGCAATGGGGTGATTTAAATTCAACGACTGGATGTATGCAGCATTGATAATAAATAAAAAACACTTAGCGGAGAAATTAAATTATGCAAAAGTCAACTTGAATTTCAGAAATTATCAAATTCAAGGGAAGCTGGCACAAGATCGCTCGAAATATATAGAATTTTTCTACAAAACGAATGTTAACCTGAAACTGAAAAAAAGTTCTATTTTGTTTAACTGCATTTATTTTCCATATAATTTTAGAGACACATTTTTCAGTTTTAATGGCTAGAATACAGTTCTTGAATTAATCACTACATAAGGCATTTTTGTTAATTAACTCATTTTTATGATTTGGATCTTTACTATAAATTCTCTTTTTGCTAGCCCTCACTAGCACACAGATGAATTAAACAGTATTTAAGGCAAGGGTTTTGAAAGCTATAGAGAGCTTTTGGCAGAGAAACTTGCAGTTTTACTTGCTGTTGCTGAGATCTACCAGTTAATAATATGACATTAGCCATTTGCTAGCTGACATTCAATTGCATCAGCTTAGTTAGTCCAAATTTGCGCAGTCTTAGGCAGTGATAATATAAGTTTTTTAAATTGAACTTCATGTTATGGTGTCATTGTACACAAAAGTAGCACCTTTTTTGTTTAAATTTAAAAAAAAGGTTTATTTAAAAACTCTGCAGAACTTTATCATGTATACATAGAGGGATCAATAACTCACACATCAGTCTAATAGGGTTTGAAAGATATTTTTTATTAATATTACATACGATTAAGACCCCATAACTAAACGATGCAAAGAGATCTTTTTTGTTTGTTTGCCCTCCGAAACACCAGCAAATGTTCTTCATTTATTCTTCACAGCTTTCGAGTTCATTAATTTATAAGTAAGACTATGATTCAGCCACTAGCATTAACACAAACAAGCTAATTTTCTATTTCTCATGGATAATACATGATTACTCTATATACAACCACAAACCTATTACAGTTTATTCTTTTCCAAAATATACCATATATTTTCTTAGCTACATTAAACTTGCATTCATTTATGATTTGTTTAGATAAAATTTACTACCTAAATCTAGCCAAACATTTCCTGTGAAACTATTACTTAAAGGATAAATAAAAAGAATGCTCTTACTTTAAGGCCCTTAGCTTCTTCAGAATCTTTAAATACTTGCTTACTGTAATTTGAAAGCTTAGGGCCCTCTGTATCAGGTCTGTTGTAATAGATTAATTCAGCATTTTCACCCTAAAATATTGAATTCAGATATTATATAAGGACACTAGGAATATGAGACAAAATTTTGTTTAAATGAAAATACATGGTAGACACACACATTTTGATAACTTCAACTTATCTGTTCACTCTTATATTTGCTCTCCTCCATCAAAAGAAAAGGAAATAAAAAATACAAGGTAACTGAAGAGAAGCATGTCAGACATTGGCAATAAAATTTAAATTAGGTTAAAAAAAAATTACAATGCCCAGATTTTGAATGAAACCATTTTTGAGGACAGTAAGACACGTATCTTTTTTCTTCAAAAGTCAAAAATTACATTTGCTTTTGAAAGCAAAAGTGTTTGCTCCTGGAAAAGAGGAACTTATATTTGATTGCTCTTGAAACTGATACTGTTTTATTCAAAATCTACAATATGTTACTCTTTTTCCTAATTTTAAACTAACTAGTTTCCAGAAATGAAATTTATAAACTGAACTTCTGATATCCATGTTAATTTATTCACAGTTATTTAAGAACAGCTGAAAAACATGGGTAACTCAAAAATGGCTTTGTAAAACAGTAATTAGTATATGGATACTGGTCGGAGGGGGAGAACCTTCAGAGATTTTAAACAAACAAAATGTCAAGTACTATATAAAGCAGAGTTTAATTAATATGTATACACGTGCATATATAATAATGGAAACTTAGGGGTAATGATGTAGAAAAGTTGATAAGGCCTACTAGTAACCAAGAGGTAAAGTTGCTGAACACTAGTAGTTCAAACCTGGGTTCGATTCCAGGCGAACGGGCTGGTTGCATGGGTGTTTTCATAGTTTTTCCCACACATAGCGTGTTTATGAGCCAGTTTTTCTTAGGAAGTAATCCACGAAGGCTTCTCTCTCATTAAGCGGATAGGCCATGCATGCCTTTCCATAATTAAACAGAATAAACCAAACCAGAAAAATCGACTTGCAGATATTGATCCATGATGAAGAGCAAACTTAGCAGCTGAAGAAAATTAAATATTCCTTGTTATTTCAACTGACATTTGCAGCCACAAATACTTGGCACGTTAATTGTGCCTGTTCCAAAACAGATACATTTTTTACACTGTTGTAACAGAAAGAAAGCAGCAGGCTAGTGTCTTGATAGCAAGAGAGCAAAAGCAAAATGTGCAGCTGCATACTGTATACTGCAGCAAAGTGTGCTTATTAAGAAAAAGTTTCAGTTCTCATAATTTAGAGTTTTGTTCTGAATTAGTGAAAAAGTCTGAAAAAAGTCATTAGTGAAGTAAAAGTCATATGATAGGATTAATCTAGAAATAATGCATTCCAGGAAAAGTTATTACTATTTTTAGGACAGAATTGAGAAGAAAATTAAAATAAGCACTTAATGAGCTACTGCTAATTCAAACTATAATTTAGATTTACATAGTTTTTATCTTATGTATTCCCCCCTTGAAAGGGAAAAAGCCTTTCTAGAGAAAAAGCGTTAAGCAGTAGCAGGTGAAGAGAAATATAATTTTGGAAAATACAAATCTTAAAATTTTGATCAGCAACATTATTGAAATAATCACAAAAAATAAACTTTGATAATATTTGAAAGTCCTATTAAATTTTCAGTCCAAAATTCTTTGTGATTTAGAATCCATATAATCATACTTGTTCAGGAATTTTCAAAACTTTTTATACAATACCACAAACATAAAAATTTTATACATCCATTACTTACTAGGAATAATCACAATAAATTTCAAAAATTTATAACATAACTAATTTTTATTATTACAACTAGTATTTTAATATATTTGTAGTGGTATTATTGAAATTATGATTTTCTTATTTTATCCAAAACTGGGAGACTTTCTCCGCACAACTTTCTCCACGTACAAATATTTCTATCTACTGGGCATATCCACTCAAACTAACTGATGTAGTAATTCATCAGTAATTAGACAGTTACTTATAAGGGCTTCTGTTCCTTGTATAAAGCAAATGGCTTTTGTGAATTTCACTAAAACATCTGTTATATAATATAAAAAATATAACCAGATTCCAATATATGAAAAAATTAAAATAATTCTATATAAAAAAACTTCATTTTTTCTTAAAAGTGGGAGCTTTCAAAGTTTATACTGCATGAGGAGGGGAAAAGGACCAGTTAAACAGAGATAAAAACAGGCCTCTGCTTTTAAGCCAGTACTCCCTCCACATACTTTATCAGGTTCTGTGTTCCTCCTTACTTGCTTTGGGAACATTAAATGTCCTGACTCGGAACAGGGAGCTTACTAAAGCTATATTCAATAAATTTGGGAAGTAGACAATACACACAGGAAGGGTATACGAAACCCTTTATTTTTCTCTCTTTACAATGATTTCTGGACTTCGGAATACAGAGACCAACCACTTGTGGTCTGAACATAAGAATAAAAATATTAACTAAACTCTAACTAAACTTAACTTTGGATTAATCAAACAAGTGCCTACTCCAAGATTGGCCATATATTAGCAAAAAGCCGTATGTAGTACAGAGAAACTGCTAACACTACAATACGTTTAAAATTATCAAGAGGATTAAACATCTGGCCTTGAAGGCAACCAGCAACCGAGTAAAACTACTATGGCAAGCGGCCTGCTTCTAATAGCTCCTTCCTCTCTCTTGCTTGGCAAAAAGCCACAACTTAAGTACTTGGCGTTCGCAAGACAAATTTGCATAAATAAGCTTTTAATTCTGGCCGGAAGTAGAAAATAAGAAGTGATAGTAAAGATTTAAAACAAAATAAATGTTAGTAAAACTTAGGATCCTTACAACTTTATCTATAATTATTTATCAATTATATTTTATACAATTATCAATTAATTATAATATTCATTTACCATAATTCAAAATAATTTTTTCTAGAAATTTTACTTTTCAACTACATTAATCATATAAATTTCATTACAATTACTCAATTTCTTAAATTTTTAGCACTTCTATATTCATTATAGCAATTTTTGGTACTTTTCCATTATATGGGTGCCATGAAACACACTGTTAAAATGTGTAGTAATGTACTGAAGACAGCAATAATGTAATCAGCTAAGTCTAGACTTTAGCTATTGTTGATGCCATGAACTGACTTCACTTGAGTTTTGTAATATGCAATTAAAAATGAACCACAGTACAATCACTGGCTAGAACTACTATGCAGCAGGTTTGCATTCACGCCTTGTTATGTAGACCTGAAGTTAAAATTGGTGGAAATAATAGATTAATAGAGGTTGAAAAAAGTCTTTTTACAAGAAGAAAGAGTAACACTGGATGTGTTCTTCCTCCACAGTGGGATTTTAGAGGCATATGTAGAGAAACAAAAGAATGTTTTTTTCTAGCCATTTCAGATTGCTCAGCTAAAACTTTACTTGATGCTACTAAAAAAAATGTCACAGACAATAGTACAATTTTTTTCCGATTGCTGGAAAGCATACAAAACAAAGGATTTGAAAGAAGCAGCATATGATCATCTCCCAGTTAAAGACACGTACGATTTTGTAGACCCAAACACTGATGTCATACACAAACAGTTGAAAGCAAAGAGCAAAAACCTCTGCAAAAGTTATAAATATTAAATACCAATAATTAGTTTTAAATCACAATAAAAATATAAATAAAAATAATTATAAAAGTATTAATAGTTACAAAAATTTTATATTTCATAGCATTATAATGCTCTTAAATATATATATATATATAACTATGAAGGAGTAAAATTGGAGAATGTTGATATTCTCTAGTGAATGTCAACACATACCAAATACGTCAGTGAAAGACCGAATATTTGGCTACATTCTTAAACATTCAGACCATCACTGGCGCATATCGACAAGCACACCTTTGATAAAAGTTCAAATGAGAAGATAAAAACACCAAATCTTTTGTTCTGTTATGAATGAGGTCATGTGGTATCTATTTGTTATACAGTAAGACCCTGCTTAATGCTGTTGCAGTTTAACACTCTTTTATTTGAATTGTGGGATTCCCCAAGATTGCATGCAGCATTAGGCTTCCTGATAACCGAAGCAGTTTATCTGTGTTTCTTCTTTCCTGCGGTGTTATACAAACGTAATTTTATCGTTTTAAACATTTGTTGATGTTATTGTAAGTATAAATTTATATAATATAATGATTGATAATAAAAAACACTAAAATAAAGCAACAAGAAAAAGCATTTCACTAGAAACTAAAATGCAAGTGATTAGCAGATTAGATACTGGTGAACGTAACATAAACCCTTTTTTGGAATGAGGTAACAGAAAAATGAAAGGGTTGTGGAAGAACATTTTGGCCAGATCTAAGCAAGGGTGGTGAAACCGAACACTCTCTCGATATGAATGAAACAGTGGAAGAAATAGTGTAATTAGTGCAACAAATCAGTTTTAGATGAGGCAAATGTGGAAAATGTTGAAGAAATAGTGCAAGAAACAGCAGCAAGTCTTTCTAATGATGAGCTCAAGGAATTAGTGGACCAAGAACACAAAAATATTGAAATAGCGATTCTGAAGGAGAGCAAAACGGACTTTCAACAGCGTTTCTAAAAACCAGTTTGACCACTATCTAAGGTATTTCTTCCACCTTCCTAGCATGCCTTCGTGGTGTAGTAGTTCTGCACGCTGGGCCGGTATTCCAGAAGTCCGTGGTTCAATTCCCGGCGAAGGCGGTTGCTAATTTTTCATCTCTCCGGCTTCCAAAAAAATTCTAATGTCTCTACAGTGACGCCCGAACTAAAAGGGCTGTGAATGATGACTCTCCACATCCAGGACTTGGCGATTGGGTCCCCTAAAAACTCCAGTCACCCTTTAAAAGGGGGAGTATATAAGGTATTTGTCCCACCTTCCTAGTGTGCCTTCGTGGTGTAGTGGTTCTGCACGCTGGGCCAGTATTCCAGAGGTCCGTGGTTTGATTCCCGGCAAAGGTGGTTGCTAATGTTTCATCTCTCCGGCTTTTCCAATTAACCTAATGTCTCTACAACAGTAACAAATTATGGATC